GCGCTTCAGCATGCGCTGACCCCGCCCTGTCATGTGACGTGGCCTACCACTTGGTGGCTGAGTGGCTGTTGTTCCCAGTGGCTTCCACTTTGTTATAATCCCCACTAACAGTTGAGCGTGGAATATTTAGTAGCCAGGAAATGTCACGGATGGACTTATTGCCCAGGTGGAACAAACAGACAGAGGTCCTCCTGCGCTCCACGGAGTATCTAACTGAAATGCTAGCTGCTATCACCTATTCCTTATACCACGGGACATATGAAAACCCAAAAAATGTGATGAAGCGCTCAGCTATGAGTGTAACAAAAATTATACAATGATCAATACTAAACAACATATGATATATTACATCCAATGTGAATGAATCATGTGAATAAAACACTCAATTTCCTAGGAATCAATAATGTGACATAAATGGAACCAGTGCATTTATATAGTGCCTAAATTAAATACGTGCCAAAAACAAACTCATGTTATGCCACCTAGTGGCTGACCAGATAAAGTGAAAATAATGAGATCATCCCACTCGTGTATACAAGGTGACAATTATATACATATATAGATAATAAAATCACAACAGTCCAATATAACGTGAAAAACTGTGCACATGATAAATGGTGTTCAATATACAGTGATTCAAAACTTCATTCCATGCTGCAAATGTGCTCCTGGTGACACTCTGACGTGACTCCCCTGGACTAGCTAAAGTGCCTCCTCACCTTCTAGATCGCCCCATAAGGGCCACAAAGCTTTAAAATATAAGGATCTCAACCTGGCTTCAACGCCTCCACTTGTTCCACTGACTCCAATACAGTCCCTCTCAGAGTTAAATGTTCCTCTCAGACCACTCTCCTCAATATGGACTCAGATATACAGGGCATATAGGAGAAAACAAAGAACAGACCTCCATAGTGCAACACCGCTTTATTTTCACCAAAAACGCCAAAGGAAATCCTGAAGAAGCCATGTTTCCGTGGTGTAATGTGGAAATCCTGAAGAAGCCATGTTTCCGTGGTGTATGATGTAATGTGGAAATCCTGAAGAAGCCATGTTTCCGTGTTGTAATGTGGAAATCCTGAAGAAGCCATGTTTCCGTGGTGTAATGAGGAAATCCTGAAGAAGCCATGTTTCCGTGGTGTAATGTGGAAATCCTGAAGAAGCCATGTTTCCGTGGTGTAATGTGGAAATCCTGAAGAAGCCATGTTTCCGTGTTGTAATGTGGAAATCCTGAAGAAGCCATGTTTCCGTGGTGTAATGAGGAAATCCTGAAGAAGCCATGTTTCCGTGGTGTAATGTGGAAATCCTGAAGAAGCCACGTATCTGATTTGGCAGAAAAAACGCTTGACGCAGCCAGACGTGTCTAAATGTTGGTCGCATTTAGCACTTGAGCGTTAATTAATTTCAGTCTGCAGAATAAATGATCATTTTGGCCAATAAAATGAATTACCGCCCAAGTACTTGACACTTGTAAACGTGCCTAATCGCTTGTAAAAAGCCTTAGATAATTTTACAAGCGTCAGGCGGTTTTTCTGCTGCCAGAGGACGGCTTCTAGGAGAGTTTTTCTGACGTCCTGCGTGCGTGAGACCTTAAAGGAGATCGGTAAAGAAATAAACTTACCAAGCTGGGCGAACACTTCTGCCGCCTCCACTCCATACACTCTTATCACTGGTCTGCTGTCCGCTATGGAGATGGTCGGGGTCAGCTCATATGCTCTCCTCTCTGCAGTGACTGCATTCAATCCATCTGTTGCTTTAGCATACATGACAAATTCTCCGCCATCCCAGCACACACTTACATGAGTTGACCCAGGGCTGACTTCCCAAACCCGACATTACCCACTAGCTGCAGGACAACGCGCTGATACCCCTGATTACCATGGGGGAAAGTATCCAGGCTGAAGCTGCGGATATAATTTCTCATCTCTTCCAGGGGGACCTCTGAAGATCTGCCATGTTTTCTGGAGAGTTCTAATACAGAAATCAGGAGATCAGAAGTGAAACTGCGCAGAAGAATGTGCAGGGACCTAAGTCCAGCAACCCACACCCTGGAATCTAACAGGAACAGAAGAATGTGCAGGGACCTAAGTCCAGCAACCCACACCCTGGAATCTAACAGGAACAGAAGAATGTGCAGGGACCTAAGTCCAGCAACCCACACCCTGGAATCTAACAGGAACAGAAGAATGTGGCTATGTGCTCTTTAACCTCCCTGTCGGTCTGATTATGTCAGGATTTCTGTGCTCAAAGCGGTACATTATTTTCAATGGAAATTTGTTTTTTTATTGTAGGCTGTAATTTTTAGGAATAACTCACTGAAATCTGTCCGAACAAGAGTCTAGTAAACATCCCGGGGAGGATAAAATTTGAAACACGAAATCATAAATTATAATATAATAAATAATCATAAAAAATAATAAAATAATTATAAAAAAAAATTTAAGTCAATTTAAGTCAATAACATAATCAAATCGAAAACACTGAAATGTGAAATATAGCGCCAAGTTCGCACATCGCTGAGCAAAGTCGCAGAATCGTTTTCAGTGTCTGATGAGGAATTTCCCCCACGAATCATTATCACTCAATTCTGCAAGTGGTTCTGATTTACTATCGCTGTTCTCTAGCCGGTCTAAAAACGCGTCTGACCTAAAGGGACGCTTTTTGGACGCCATGGACGTTTCTCAGTTTCCAGGCAGAAAGAACAGTAAAAATGCAGGCAGGGCGCCGGACAAAGCACTCGGGACAAAATGTATGTGAAATGGTTTGATACAGGAATGTTATACTATGTGATTTTAAAACTTTGACATTTTTGAATTTCCCGCCGTTTCATCCCCCGTACGTCCCGACGTTGCAGGGAACGGAACCCACAAGACGGATGCCGGCATCGGTCGGAGGAGATGGCCGGGGACACTACAGGGGGGACATCGCGGGGAGCGCAGGACAAGGTAAGTGATACAGGGATCCCGGAGCAACGCTGCAGTGTATTCCCGAGTGTAGCTCAGCGTTACCGCTTCTGATACTGAAAGGTAACCCCGAGCTACACTCAGGAACACCACCAGGGGGGTAAAGGCCACTGTGCACTTCCATCCAGACCATTTTTTTTTTATTTCAGGTACTTATATAGAGCCATCAATGTACGCAGTGCTTTACATATATATTGTACATTCACATCAGTCCCTAACCCTCAAGGGGGCGTACAATCTAAGGTCCCTAACTCACATTCATACATACACATACTAGGGACAATTTAGACAGGCCACAATTCACCTACCAGCATGTCTTTGGAGTGTGGGAGGAAACTGGAGTACCTGGAGGAAACCCACGCAGGCACAGGGAGAATGTGCAAGCTCCAGGCAGTCGGTGACGTGGTTGGGATGTGAGCCAACAACCCTAGTGCTGTCAGGCAGAAGTGCTAACCATTTAGCCACTGTGCTGCCCCATTTATTGTACTGTAAACCGAAACGGCTTCATTAACATACACATGTAGGGACAATCTGCTTCATTCACACCTGCAGCAGGTGGTTGAGGCCAAGGTTTTACCACCCTCCAACCATCAATCTGAACCTGGGCATGCAACCACGTAGGGCTGTACACAGGCCGTATCTGTGATGCTGCACTCTTAGAGGGCACTGCACATGTGAATGAGCCCATACAGAGATCTCTGTCGTGGGTGGAGAGTGCAAAATCTGCTGCAGCGGTGCATGGCAGCCAATCAGCTTCTAACTTCAGTTTGTGTAATTAAGCTTTGGCACAAAAAGCCTGGAAGCTGATTGGTTTCTATGCAGAGATGCACCACATTTTGCACTCTCCAGTTTTAGTAAATCCAAGAAGAGGAGGGCGCTTGAGCACTCTTGTAGTTCATTGACTCTTCCTGCCATTCAGGAACTGCCTGCCCATACAGGAGGTACAGGCAGACAGGTTACTTAGTGTCTGCAGGATCCTGGCATTGCACCTGTGATCTGATGATTGCGGGTGCAAGGCCCTACAGACTGCAGAATAAAAATAATCAATGCACATTTTTTTTTTACCTACAAAAAAGATACGTATTTATTATTTTTACAAAAGGCAAGCTTATACCTTATTTGGAGAGAATCCCCTTGAAGTTTAGGGATCAAGCCTGGCTTGCTTTCCATGGAAGGCTCTATGTGAGAGGAAACCTGAAGCACCGCCCTGTGGATGATCGGGATTGTCCTAGAGCGCAGTGTGTTGGTAAAGTGGAGTCTATGGACCACTTTTTGCTTCAGTGTCCCATTAACATAGATGATGTATAAAAGGGTGGGGAGGGTTCTAGGCATCTCCTTCCTTTATCTCATGAGTTATGCGAAGTAGGTGTACCGGGCATTCCTGACTCGATGGAATTTTGATTTGACACACTTTCTAGTTCAGTTGTCTGTTGCTTCATGTAGAATGCACAGTGACAGATTACCCATGTGGCAGAATTATCTCCCTGTTGAGGTGGTGGTGCACCATATTCTGGGTGAGGTTGGGAAGATTCAAAGCTCTGAGAGGGCAGGGAACCTCACGCAGTCTGGATGAGGGCGAGGAGGAATATCAGACCTACCTGTGGTGAACTGTCCATCTCTTAGTGAGGGGCTCTTTTTCTGTTCTTTTCACTCCCTTACTCCCCCCCCCAGTAATGATATCTTTATTTATGAGATTTTTCTTTTGCTATAACGTTATCTTTTGTATGAGAGCAGAATCTGCTATATTGTGTTTAATATTTATTTATGTATATTCTTATGATCTTATGTTTATTGCTTGCAAGAAATTTAGTAAAGAAAAAATTAGGAAAAATGTTCTTGGTTGTTAGTGAGAAGAATGTTCTTTACATTGGTGGTCAGTGGGAAGAATGTCCCTTACATTGGTGGTCATTGGGAAGATTGTCCCTTACATTGGTGGTCAGTGGGAAGAATGTCCCTTACATTGGGGGTCAGTGGGAAGAATGTCCCTTACATTGGTGATCAGTGGGAAGAATGCCCTTATATTGGGGGTCAGTGGGAAGAATGTCCCTTACATTGGTGGCCAGTGGGAAGAATGTCCCTTACATTGGTGGCCAGTGGGAAGAATGTCCCTTACATTGGTGGCCAGTGGGAAGAATGTCCCTTACATTGGGGGTCAGTGGGAAGAATGTCCCTTACATTGGGGGTCAGTGGGAAGAATGTCCCTTACATTGGGGGTCAGTGGGAAGAATGTCCCTTACATTGGGGGTCAGTGGGGAAGAATGTCCCTTACATTGGGGGTCAGTGGGAAGAATGTCCCTTACATTGGTGGTCAGTGGGAAGAATGTCCCTTACATTGGTGGTCATTGGGAAGAATGTCCCTTACATTGGTGGTCATTGGGAAGATTGTCCCTTACATTGGTGGTCAGTGGGAAGAATGTCCCTTACATTGGTGGTCATTGGGAAGAATGTCCCTTACATTTGCCAGCCAGACATCAGCGAGCTCTGTGGATCAGCAGCCTCAGGTAATGGATGACCCGGCTCCATCTACATCAGCGTCTCTCCCCCCATGTCAGGCTGAGGAGTTGTCAGTAGCAACCAGCCAGGGGGTTGAGGGTGAGTATGGAACCCTGAAGTTCATTCAGCACATGGAGTCTCCCCTGAGAGCAAACAAGTTTGCCTTCACTGATGACCCTGCAGAAGTCCCTGAAGATGGACAGAGGAGGTACAGAGCAGCAAAGCCAAGACTGGTGGAGAGATCCCAGTATACCAAGATGGCTGCTCCCAGCATGTCTGCCCCACCTGCTGTGGTCAGTACTGTGGATGAGGAGCTCTGCAAGCAGCCTGCTGTGGAGGAATCCTCATCCAAACCTGGAGGAAAAATTCCTGGCAGAGAGGTCTCCAGACCATCAGGGGAATGTGGATGAACCTGCAGCAAGCACCCCACAGATGGAAATTGCTGTTCCTGCTGAGACCAGTAGTCCCTCTACATGCAAGATGGCTGCCACCTGCAGAGAGACTGTTTCACCTGAGCCCCCAGGTGCTCCAGAGCTGATTGATGCTGGTGGGGGCGGGGGGAGCAGCACACTGCACCATGTGGAGAGCAAACAGCACACATGGATGTCTCACTTGTTGCTGTGTCTGAGAATCCATCCAGTCCTGGGCTGAGTGTCCTTTCTTGGAAGAAGAGATGACTGCTGGAGCTTCTATGGTTGCAGCAGTGAGTGTGGACATTGCTGTGAAGTCTATGACTGTTGAGACTGCTAAAGCAATGGATGTGTTGGTGGTGGGTGGAGGTGAAGGGGTTAACATTGCTCATAAGACTAAAAATGACATTTCTCCCCCTGCTGAGCAGCGAGAGAGAGGATACACCATCCAATCCCAGATCTGTGCAATCGGTATCTGCCAGAGTTGCACCAGATGCTCCCAGACACACAAATGTTTCTGCTGCTGGGAGGATTGGGGGGAGCTATGCCTCTGTTTTGGGGAGTCGCACCAAGGGGGGTGGGGGTAGTGTTGGGAATACTAATGGTCACAATTTGGGGAGGTTTGGTGTGTGGATGGTTGGTGGGGTCAGGAGAAGGAATGTGGTACAGTTAAAGTGGGAGGGGGAAGGGAACCCACCAGTAAGGGGGAGGGTGGAGGAGTTGATTCTAGAGATGGGGTTTAAAGCCTGTGATGTGTTTGCGTTGATCTGCCCAGTCGGCAGCTATGAATACGATTTGTCCTTTGTAAAACCTGAAGGCCTGGACCTGTTTTGGGAGAGATATTGGAGGTGCAGGAGCCTTCAGCAGTGGAAAGGTTTGGTGGCAAAGGTTTGTTTCCAGACAGCCTTTGATAAAATCGGTGACAATCCTGGTCTGGAATGAATCCATACCAGAGGCTGATTTAGTAGTTTGGCTACGTCGACATGGTGAGGTCCTCACCCCACTGCGGAAGGTCCTGGATGAGCATAGGATATGGACAGGGGCCTGGACAGTGTCAGTGCAATTGAGGGTGCTGGGCAATGTGGTTCAGCATCTTCCCTGCTCAGCCTTTCTGGGGAGGGATAGGCTGACCATTTTCTATCAAGGTCAGCCTAAAGTTTGTAACAAATGCGGAGAGAAAGGCCATTTTGCATCATCCTGCACCATCAAGAAGTGCTCACTGTGCCAGGATTTTGGCCATTTGGCCAAAGAATGCACCGAGATTCGGTGTAATTTGTGCCAGCAGCTGGGTCATCCATACAGTCTGTGCCCAGAGGCACTACACAACCTGCCAGGACTGGAGGCTGAGCTGCAGAGGCTGGATAAAGAGGATGAGGCAGCTGATGCTAGGGAGGAAACTGTAGTTGCCCCTCCTGTGTCTGTTGTGTCAGATTGTGTTTCCCCCAGTAATGTCACCCCTGAGTCTGTCCCTCCTGTTCCTAATCCTACAGTACGTAGATCCTCCAGACTGGCGGAAGCTGCTGGGGGGGCGGGTTTAGCGGATCTTCCCTCTCGGCCTACTCCACCTCCAGTACCTGTCCCCCATCAGCGCAAACGTGGTCAGGAGGTTGTGGGGGTGCCAGATGGGGGTGGAGCCGATGAGGCTCAGGGAGGGGTATCCATGTCCCATGTCTCACCTCCTGCTGGGGAGATTCGGCTGATGAAGGGTGGGAGAGGGTGAAGGAGAAGAGGAAGAAGAAGAGGAGGATGAGAAGAGCTGTCCTCTCTTCCTCAGAATCAGATCCAGGAGGGGTCCCTCTTGGCAATACTTTTTTTCAGTTTTGTCAGGTGATGAGATGGTATCTGATATATCCATTTCTCTATCATCTATGGATGAGGGGGAGTCACGTACTCTGAAGAGAGCTGTTTCGGGTGATGAGAGTGTGGTAGAGGTTAAGAAAACGACTACCCCAATCATCCTGATGGCAGTTCCCACTCTGTTAAAGGTGGCGACCATTAATGTCGCCAGCATTAAATCTGCAAGAGCTCGTGATACGGCCTTATTTTTGCTCAGCGAGTTTGATGCTGAGATTTTATTTTTGCAAGAGACCTGGCTCAATACATTAGCCGATGTCTATCTAGCAAAAAGGGAGTGGAGATGTGTGGTCCCTCCTTTTGGTCTCTTGCGGCTGAGCCTGATCAATATCTATGGACCCCAGTCAAAATGGGGCAGGAAATGCCTCCTCACAAAGATCAAGCCCTTCCTTTTTACGTCCCCAGCAGGTTGTCTTTGGAGGTGACTTTAACACCATAATTAGTCCTGAAGACAGGAGAGGCTCCATAGACAGGCTGGGTTATGATAGCGTTTTTTCTCAGAGATTTGGTTAGACAGGCAGGCCTGGTAGATGTGCACATTAAGCACTGCCCTGGCAGCACGGGGTTCACAATTCAGAGAGGGAATAGTCAGAGCAGGATAGACAGGTTTTTTTTAAAGGAGAACTCTGCTTTCTCGGCTCCTGAGTTGAAGGCGGTGGAGTTCTCTGACCACTGTATGCTGTCTGTGACTCTGAATGCCTCGGACACTCCACCCAGGGGAAGGGGTGTCTGGAAACTGAATTCGGCTCTCCTGGAAGATGTAGAGGTAAGACAATCCTTTGAGGTTTTTTTTCAGGCACAGGTTTCTATTCTGGACTTTTGCAGCAGTAAGTCAGAGTGGTGGGAGCTTGTGAAACAAAGGGCGATTGGACTTTTCAAGGCCATAAGTAAGAAGAAGCAGCTTGGTATGTATATTGCCTACCAGCATTTGCGGAGGAAGCTTGATCGTCTTGTCTCGTATGGAGGAGATCCAGGGGAGATCTCTGAAGTGAAGCTTCTTCTTAGGAAATGTCAATACGACCAGCAATGCCTCCTTGGTTCTGGAGAGGGATTATGGGAAATATCACTCACCTGATCCTTACCAGAACTGTAAGCAAGACATAGCAGTTAAGACGGTCATTGGCCTGAAAGACAGTACGGGTTCCCTGATAAAGTCCAGATCAGGGATCTTGGAGATCTTTGGGTCATATTATGCAGACCCTGGGAAGAAAGGACCTTAGCCGGGACAGGACGGAAAGCTTTCTGGATTCTACTCCAGGATTGGCAATTGGTGCATTGCTTTTGATGAATTTGACAGAACCAATTTCAGCGGATGAGGTAGTTCATGCTATAGACAAGCTGGCTACCAAAAAATCGCCTGGGCCAGATGGATTGACAGCTGAATTTTACAAGTGTTTTAAGTCCATTTCTGGCTCCCTTTTTAGCGGATTTTTTTAACAGCTGTCTAGAAGAGGGTTCGGCTCCCTCCCTCCATGAGGCAATCCGCTCTGTGATTCTTCTCTGTCAAAAGGTAAAGACCCCTCAATGATTGAGAACTGGCGCCCCATCAGTCTTCTCAATGTTGATAGAAAGATCTTGGCAAAGATTCTTTTTTGGCGCTTGTCGTCAGTAGCAGGCGATTTGTTTGTTCAGACCATCAGCACTGTTCGGTCCAAGGTAGAAGTACCTTTTCAGCAGTTTTGGCTAAATCCGGGAGGCTTTGGAACGATGCAGGGCTGCTGGATGGAGAAAGTACTTGCTGGCATTGGATCAGGCGAAAGCTTTTGATCGAGTGAATCATGAATATCTGTGGTTGCTGCTGGGTAGATACGGCCTGCAGGGGAGGTTTATAGATTGGCTGAAGACATTATATAAAGGGGCTGAGAGCTTCCCACTTGTTAATGGTTGGGTTGGGCGGCCTTTTGAGGTCGGCTCTGGTGTGCGCCAGGGATGTCCTTTGAGCCCTCGTGCTATATGCTTTCGCAATCAACCCCTTTTGTAAGAAGGCTAGAGGGCGCATGCGTTGTGCGGGGTGCCTCTGGGCATTGCTGGTGTGCCACCTTTGAAGGTCGTTGCCTATGCTGATGATGTGTCTGTTATTATCATCTGGGACTGAGGAGGCGCAGGAGGTTGTCTCTGTGATAGAGCAGTACACGGAGGCTTCTGGCTCTAAAGTCAACATGAAAAAGAGTGAAGTTTTCTGGATGGGTGAGGAGGGTGAAAGCTTCGAACTTCCGGATGCCTTCCAAGAGCCCCAGCAGGAAATTAAAAAATTTGGGCATCAAATTTGGTCCTGTTGAGACTATGGTCATCGAAACTGGGAAAGCAGGTTGGTAGATGCAATGCCAAGAAAAACAAGTAGCAAGCTGGAAGAGATGGAGGCTTTCCTTGAGAGAGAGGGTTGACTTGATCAAAACTTACCTGATCCTGATTCTTTTTATATGTCAGCTTCGTCTGTATCTTGCCGCTATCTCTCTATGCAAGGATCTACAGCTGTTTTTCAACTGTTATGGGGAAATAGGCTGAACCTGATCAAACGCAATGTAACTTACCTGTCCAGCGGGAGGGTGGCCTAGGAATGGTCAACCCGATAGTTTTCTTTTCTCTGCTCTTTTTAAAGTACAATCTTGGTAATATGTTAGCAGAGACCCCGCCGGGATGGGTGGGTATATTTTCAGTCTTGGTTTAGGCCTTTTCTGCATTGCTGGGAAGATGGCGGCCCAGTGAAAAGTCTGAGAGTCCGACATGGCAAGCTCACGGCTTATGGCAGGTGACAGTGGAGGATATCAGGTCCCTTCCCAGGAAGCTTCTGGGGGAGAGAATTTTGGCTTCTGCTTTCAGTGTGTCACTGGCCTTAAAGGATTGCCAAGGCTCGTAATGAGGGAGGGATTGCGTTTTAATTAATCTTGGAGAGAATCCCTTTGAAGTTTAGGGGATCAAGCCTGGCTCCGCTTTCCATGGAAGGCTCATGTGATGTGGAGAGGGAACCTGAAGCACCGCCCTGTGGATGATCGAGATTGTCCTAGAGCAGAGTGTGTTGGTAAAGTGGAGTCTATGGACCACTTTCTGCTCCTGTGTCCCTTTAACATAGAGGTGTATAAAAGGGTGGGGAGGGTTCTGGGCATCCCTTTCTCTATCGCGATGAGTTATGCAGAGTGGGTGTACGGGGCATTCCCAGCTCACTGGGACTTTGATTTGGATACACTTTTTCTAGTTAGTATAGTTGTCCGTTACTTCACATGGAACGCACGGTGTCAGATTACCATCCGGAAGAAAGTCCTCCCTGTAGAGGTGGTGGTGCACGATATTCTGGGTGAGGTTGGGAAGATTCGGGGTCTTGAGAGGGTCAGAGAGCCTCGGGCGGTCTGGATAAGGGCGTGGAGGAAATATCAGACCTGCCTTTGGTGAACTGTCCATCTCTGGGTGAGGGGCTCTTTCCTTATACATGTTCTTTTCACTCCCGTAGTTTTTGTTGATTAAGATCTTTTTTGAAGAAGGGCTGCATGCATAAGGGGGGGGCGGGGTGGGGTGGTTTCTTGACCTCACAGGTTTGATGTGTGGTGTAGTGATGTGAGTGGTAGTACGATTTATTTCCCCAATTATGTCAAGTTCATTTCTGAGACGTTTACTTTTGTCTGACAGCAGATTTTGCTATGTTTATTTTGCGTTTTGCTGTAAATTATATATAATTTTTTTTTATTTCTGTATAAGATATTTTATGTTTATTGATTGCGAGACTTTTAATAAAGAAAAATTGGGAAGAATGTCCCTTACATGGTGGTCAGTGGGAAGAATGTCACACTTACATTGGTGGTCAGTGGGAAGAAGAATGTCCCCTTACATGGTGGTCAGGGGGAAGAATGTCCCTTACATTGGTGGTCAGTGGGAAGAATGTCCCTTACATTGGGGTGTCAGTGGGAAAAATGTCCCTTACAATGGTGGTGGTCAGTGGGAAGAAATGTCCCTTACATTGGTGGTCAGTGGGATAGACATGTCCCTATACATTGGGGGTCAGTGGGAAAAATGTCCCTTACATTGGTGGTCAGTAGGGAAGAATGTCCCTTACATTGGTGGTCAGTGGGAAGAATGTCCCTTACATTGGGGGGGTCAGTGGGAAGAATGTCCCTTACATTGGAGGTCAGTGGGAAGAATGTCCCTTACATTGTGGGTCAGTGGGAAGAACGTCCCTTACATTGGTGTCTCAGTGGGAAGAACGTCCCTTACATTGGTGGTCAGTGGGAAGAATGTCTCTTACGCAGTGGTGGTCAGTGGGAAGAATGTCTCTTACAGTGGTGGTCAGTAGGGGGAAGAATGTCTCTTACATTGGTGGTCAGTGGGAAGAATGTCATTCTTACATTGGGGGTCAGTGGGAAGAATGCTCACCTCACATGAGTAGCTGAAACCATCATACAATGTTGGTCGGTGAGGAGAGATCCCCTCTTACATACAGCTGAAATGATCATTGGTTCAGATGTTACTTATATGAAAGGCAAACAATTCCCTTTGCAGTACACAAGACACTCACAATCTCTGACAGCTTTCAATCACATTTCATTTAATGGTGCTGTATGTGATAAATGGATACACAAACACTGTTACTATTTATATTCTGTATATGCATGAATAATGATTTATATTTTTTTCCAACAATTGGAAAGGGTGTAAATATTTTCTGAAAAGTGATTGCAGCTTCATTGATAACTTGTAAGACAAATAAAAGGTTACATGTGAATAGAAAGCTAACTGTTAAGGACCAGGAACAGGGCCTCCAGCTGTTGAAAGCCTAGACCAGGAGTGTGCAGCACATAGACTTGAATTCAGCCTAATTCCATCAAATTATTCCTCTGGAATCCATGGCCAGCTTCCATTGGGTAGAAGCATTCTAAAATTGTTGAAGTCATTGTCTCTGTGTGTATAGTTTGTGATTTATTATGTACACGGATGCCACCATTATATTGGCAGATCATGCCACCAATGGTTGTCCTGCATTGATAGACTTTTGGGGTTTTGTCTATCTACAACGCTTTGGTTGGACAAGGAAGGCAAATGATTGATAAAGGGCCACTAGAATCAGAAAACTACAGACACCGCGTGTAGATATCAGCATGTAAAACATGGACAGCAAACATGTTACATGCAAACGTTACATTAAAATCGGGTTTGACACGAACTAAACAAAGACAGGAACCTTGTGCTCAGTAAAAACTCTACCAGAAGGGAAAACCTGTAGTGGGAATCTCAGAACGGTTTTCACAATTTGTGAATTAGTTTTTGATGATCTGAACAGGTGTTTCTTTGAATGGGGAATACTGAGGGGTTCCATTTCAATCAGACCTAATATGAGGAAGCACCGGACCAAGGGATGGGCAAAAAAAAAAAAAGGCAGTCGTCTGTCAACCAGGTATAATACTTTCCTTGAGGGGTCCTTGGAGAAAAAAACAGAGCAGTATGTAAAGGATGAGGGCACCACAAGTGCGCAGTGGCCCCCGAAATGCGTGGGCACTTTTATCCTCGTGTTGTCAAGATAAAATTCATTGAACTCGCTATATTAGTGGCATCTCGCGAAATCCTTTACTGTATTGTAAAGGGCTCATTCACATGGGGAAAGCTTTGATCTCTAGCTCCCTTGTCACACTCCTCCCCACGCTCGCCTTCAGGACTCTCCAGAACCTCTCCGATCCTCTGGAACTCCCTACCCCAGTATGTCCAGTCTGCTTCCACTTTGTCTGCCTCTAGGCCGAAAACTTTGAAAAGTCACTTATTTAGGGAAGCCTACCCCCACCTCCACCTCCACCTAAGAACTGCACTGAATCACCACACCAGATCATCCCCCGCAGCTAATGCTTTTGTATCACCTCCCCCATTCCTTTAGATTGTAAGCTCCATGAGCCGGGACCTCCTATTCCTTCTGTATTGGACTGTTATTGGGAATTATACTGTCCCCCTTTATATTGTAAAGTGCTGCGTAAACTGGAACTATACAAATCCTGTATGATAATACAATAATGGGGGTCCTGAGGCAGGGTCCATGTTGTCCCAGCACACAGGGATGTGCAGGTGTGGCAGGCTTTCCCCGTGCTGATGTCCCACTTATTTCTGTTGGGGACAGTGAATACAGCCTCTGTATCCTAATATTTTTATTTAGGTTTTTTTTTTTTATTTCAGGGTACTTATATAGCACCATCAATTTATGCAGCACTTTACATATATATTGTACAATGACATCAGAGCTGATTCACACATGTGCACTGCGGACTGAAGCTCAGGTTTCACAGATAATTGTTTCAGAAGTTGTTCAGGGTTCATGTCAGGTTTACGTCAGGTTCAGGTCAGGATCGTATCCTGTTCACACATATGACAGTTTAGAAATAGTTCCCCTAGAAGTCATATAGCCTGTAACCCGTGCTTGAACCTGAAGGTACCACTCAGAAATCTTTGTTCAAAACCGCACTGAATCCGTTACCAGCAGTGCATCGGACTAAATGTGAACAAACACCATAGGAAGCAATGTTAATTTCATGTCTGGTGGATTGGATGCGAGTTCAAACCGTGGGCACTTATTCCCTAACCTTCAAACTGATGAGACATGGAGGAGATCAGCTATGAGGAGAGAGATTAGAGGAGCTGAATGTATTCTCTACTGAGAAGAGGAGATTAAGGGGGGTATATGATCTCACATGTATAATACATAAGGGGGATGTTGATCTCCATGTGATAATACATAAGGGGGATATGATCTCCATGTATAATACATAAGGGGGGATATGTTCTCCATGTATAATACATTAAGGGGGGGATTTGATCTCCATGTAAATACATAAGGGGGAATTTTTCATGATCCTCCATGTATTAATACATAAGGGGGTTATGATCTCCATGTATAATACATAACGGGGGGATATGATCACCATCTGCTAATACAAGAAGGGGGAATAATGATCACCTGTAATAAATACGAATAAGGGGGATATGATCTCCATGTATAATACATAGTGGGGGACTATGATCGCCATGTATAATACATAAGGGGGGATCTGATATCCATGTATATTACTTAGGGGGGGATATGATCACCATGTATAATATATAAGGGGGGATATGATCACCATGTATAATTTATAAGGGGGATATGTTCTCATGTTATAATAATAAGGGGGGTTATGATCTCCATGTTTAATACATAAGGGGGGGGCGATATGATCTCCATGTATAATACATTAAGGGGGATATGATTCTCCATGTATATAAACATAAGGGTAAGGGGGGATATGATCTCCATGTATAATACATAAGGGCGGGATATGATCTCCATGTATAATACATAAGGGGGGATATGATCTCCTTGTATAATACATAAGGGGGGGATATGATCTCCATTGTATAATACATAAGGGGGATATGATCTCCATGTATAATACATAAGGGGGGATATGATCTCCATGTATAATACATAAGGGGGGATATGATCTCCATGTATAATACATAAGGGGGGATATGATCTCCATGTATAATACATAAGGGGGATATGATCTCCATGTATAATACATAAGTGGGGGGGGATATGATCTCCATGTATATACATAAGGGGGGACTTATGATCTCCATGTATAATACATAAGGGGGGATATGATCACCATGTATAATACATAAGGGGGGATATGATCTCCATGTATAATACATAAGGGGGATATGATCTCCATGTGTATATAATACATAAGGGGGGATATGATCTCCATGTATAATACATAAGGGGGGATATGATCTCCATGTATAATACATAAGGGGGGATATGATCTCCATGTATAATACATAAGGGGGGATATGATCTCCATGTATATTAATACATAAGGGGGGATTGATCTCCAATGTATAATAATAAGGGGGGATATGATTCCATGTATAAATACATCAGTGGTCCAAAATATAGTGATTACCTCATCGGTGTTGTACATTATATTCCCCCATGAGAGTCATTCAAGAGGACAAGGTGGGCGCTTCTTATACATCTGGAAGGAAAAGAATTGTAATCTCCATAACCTCACGGAAAGGTTTTCTTCACAGTAAGAGCTGTGAGTAATGTGAATTCAGACTCTCCTCGACAAGAGTTCTTGGTTTCCTGGCCAGCTCAGTGGATTGCAGTAGGATAAGTCATGGATTGTTTCTTGGGATACATAGAATATAACTGGAGTTAACTAACATTTTTATAGGTAAAGTTGATCCCAGGGGAATATCGTTGATTTTGGCTACACGGGGAGGGGATTGCATTTTTCCCCTGCACGACACCAGCAGATTGGAATCATGCTTTGCTGGCTTTTTGCCTTACCTCTGGATCAAATGTGGGTGAAAGGCTTATAAGCAATTTTTTTTTTTTTATAATGGTTGGAACTGGATGGACTTTTGTCTGATTTATAAGCAGGACTAACTAATAGTAATTATGTCAGGAGCGTACATTCTAAGGTCCCTAACTCACATACATTACACATACATGGGCCAAATTTTAGATAGGAGCCAATTGAAACCTACCAGCAATGTCTATTGGGTGTGTGGGACGCAGGATAACCAGAGCCATATGGAGAGAACCCACGCAGGCACAGGGAGATGATGCCAAAACCAGACGGAGCAGTACCATGGTAATGTGCAGGATTTGAACCAACAACCCTAGTGCTGACCAGGCAGAAGTTGCTAACCCACTGCAGTGGGTATGTCTGACCTGCAATTTGCATCTCACGCAACCCATGTCATATTAGACACAACTGCATCTGGCAGCTCATGTGTCCCCAGATAGTAGAATGAATGGAATGCCAAAATTCCTGGATGCACCTGCACACGCACAGGTGTCCGGGAAACAATGGACCTAGCAACTGGACCCCGCATGTTAATGACATCCACAGGGTGAATGGGCCCTAGCACGGGTTACTGTGAAGTAATCATGGTGTGACAGGGTAGAGTGGGGTTTTAGGGCAGTTGAGCAATGCGAAAATTTCGGGTTAGTGAATTTGAATCATTTTGGACAGTTTGAGGTGAGACAAGAATGTTGTAGTTTCTTAGCGTGAGATGCTATGATGGACGGAATTCTGAAATTTCAGTAAAAAAACAGGCCATCGCCTATAATAAAGGGTCTCCAAACTATAGGCCTACAGGTCCACATGCGAAGTCTCCGGGCCCACTAGTACTGCTACTAAGATTATTATCCAGACC